CTAAATGTAAATGGACTGAATGCACAGAATAATAGAATGGATAAAAAAGCAAGACCCATCTCTGTACTGCTTACAAGAGACTCACCTCAAACCCAAAGACTATAGGAACAAAAAAAGACTGAAGGAACAAAACAGCAGCAGAATCATAGAACCTAAGAATGGACTAACAGTTACCACAGGGAAAGGGACTGGGGAGAAAGGGAGGGAAGGGAGGGATAAGGGTGGGGAAAAAGAAAGGGGGCATTACGATTAGCATGTATAATGTCGGGGGGGTCATGGGGAGGGCTGTGCAACACGGAGAGGACAAGTAGTGAGTCTACAGCATCTTACTACGCTGATGGACAGTACTGTAATGGGGTTTGTGGGGGGGGATTTGGTGAAGGGGAGACCCTAGTAAACATAATATTCTTCAAAAAAAATGAACAAGTGGGACTGTTATCAAATTAAAAAGCTTCTATATAGCAAAGGACACCATCAGTAGAAGAAGGCGGCATCCTACAGTATGGGAGAATATATTCATAAATGACATATCTGATAGGGGTTGACATCCAAAATATATAAAGAGCTCACGCACCCCAACAACCCAAAAGCAAATAACCCAATTAAAAAATGGGCAGAGGATATGAACAGACACTTCTCCAAAGAAGAAATTCAGATGACCAACAGGCACATGAAAAGATGCTCCACATCGCTAATTATCAGGGAAATGCAAATTAAAACCACAATGAGATAACACCTCATACCAGTTAGGATGCTAACATCGAAAAGACTAGGAACAACAAATGCTGGTGAGGATGTGGAGAAAGGGGAACCCTCCTACACTGCTAGTGGGAATTTAAATCGGTTCAACTATTATGGAAAGCAATATGGAGGTTCCTCAAAAAACTAAAAACAGAAATACCATTTGACCTGGGAATTCCACTCCTAGGAATTTACCCAAAGTAAATAAGGTACCAGATTCAAAAAGACATATGCACCCCTATGTTTATTGCAGCACTATTTACAATAGCCAAGATATGGAAGCAACCTAAGTGTCCATCAGTAGATGAATGAAGATGTGGTACATATACAGAATGGAATACTATTCAGCCATGAGAAGAAAACAAATCCTACCATCTGTAACAACATGGATGGAGCTAGAGGGTATTATGCTCAGTGAAATAAGCCAGGCAGAGAAAGACAAGTACTAAATGATTTCCCTCATTTGTGGAGTGTAACAACAAAGCAAAACTGAAGGAACAAAACAGCAGCAGACTCACAGACTCCAAGAAGGGACTAGTGGTTACCAAAGGGGAGGGTTGGGTGGGGAAGGAGGGAGAAGGGGATTGAGGTGTATTATGATTAGTACACATGATGTGGTGGGGGTGTCACAGGGAAGACAATGTAGCACAGAGAAAACAACTAGTGACTCTGTGGCGTCTTACTGCACTGATGGACAGTGACTTCAACGGGCATGGGGGGACTTGATAATATGGGTGAATGTAGTAACCTCAATGTTTTTCATGTGATACTTTCATAAGAGTGTATATCAACGATACTGTAATAAAAATAAATAAATATAAAAATAAAAAACCACAAAAATAAAAAGGAAACATGGAAATTATTTGGATGTGTACTAGAAGAAGCAATAAGATACAACTCAGACGCAGGCAGAACTTTGACCTTTACTTGCCATACTCTATTTGTTATAATACAGACTTTTAAAAAAATGTTTTTAAGTATTCTTAAAGAACATTGGCATGGTTCCTACATAGGTTATAACATGCTCTAATAACTGAAGTTGGGCTTTTTAGAGTCAAAAAACTTAACCCAATGATATTCTTGTTATTATGAGATACAACCTGCTCACAAAAAATGTACATAAATCATATGTACAATTAAATGATAATTGTAATGTGCCGATAATTGAAGCCCCCCATGTGCCCCTCCAGTGTCACAGCCCCTCCTCTCTCACCTCCAGATGGAACCTGACTTCTGTGAACATTCCTTTGCTCTCCTTTATGCACAGTTCTACTACCCTGTGCACACACCATGAACAATGCCGTTTAGTTTTAATTCATGTTGAACTGTGTATAAACACAACACGGTTATATTTAATGTCATCTTTTATGGCCTCCTTCTCCTGTGCAATGTTATGTTTGTGAAGTTCATCTGTGTTGATATGTATAGGTACCCTTCATTTTTATTTCTGCCTAATATTCCACTGCATGAGTATTCTTCTCAATCTATTTTGCTGTTGATAGATATTTGATTAGTTTTACTTGGGGCCTATTTGCTACTAAAAACATTCTTATACATGCCTCCTGGTACACATAAAGAAAGTTTCTCTGGTATATCCTAAGAATGGAATTGCTGTGTCACAGAATATGCACAGCTTCAATTTTACTAGATAAAAACAAGTTGTAAACAAAGGCAAGTTAAAATTGCACATTCTGAATAAATGAGTTTTCATTGCTTTAGCTCCTTGTGAAAAAATATTCAATTGCTTTTTTTGGCCAAAGTGATGGATGCATAATAGTATGATTGTGGTTATAATTTGTGTTGTCATGGTGACTCATAAGGTTGAGCAGCTTTGCATATATTAACTAGACGTTCAGTTTTGTTTTTTTCTCGTGCATTTTTCTGTTTGATTTTCTATTAATTTTCTGCTTGTAATGATGTTTTGTCTATATAACTGGTCAGTTCTATGTGCTGCCAGAAGCTTCTTCCTCTCTGGGTTGTACTTTCATTCTTCTGGTATCCTTTGATAAATACTGTAGGTCAAAGTTATTAATCTTTACCCTATGATGAATGTTACTTGTATATTAATTTAAAATTTTTTTATTTACCCCAATTCAATGAAGTTACTTTTTTATATTCTTAAGTTATTTTTAAGAATAACATTGATTTGTGAATAACTGACATATTTTAAAAAATCAATTTTCCAGTCTACGATCTTATTTTACCTCCATATCTATTTAGGTACACTCAGGTGATTATCTCTATACTTCGGGTAATTTTCCCCTTAAAGATGTAGAACATTTTCTAGATAGGTTACTTTATTTTTGAGACATTCATATTCTTTAATGTAAATGGATTTTGACATTATTCCAAATGATAAAATATTCATCTCACAACTAGTATATTCCTAATACATAGGAATGCAATTAATTCTGTATATTAAGTTCAGCAATATAGCTACATATTATTTTTATATTAACACCAGCAGGTGCCTAAACCCTATAGTTCTCATACTTGGAGAATTTTTTCATATTTTTCCATATATGCACTCATATCACATGTGAATACTAAAAATTTTAAATGGTGTATTTCCAGTACTTATAACACTTGTTCATTTTTTCTCTACGTATTCTCACCTTAGTGTTCTATACTGGCTAGGACCTCCAATGTTGAATAAAAATGGTAATAGGGCCCATCCTTATCCTAAACGCAAGGGAAATGTTTGAATATTTTATCACTGAACTGGGACGTTTAACCTAGGTCTTTGTACAGTACGTATTCTTGATCAGTTTAGGAAAGTTTGTTTTCATTCCGTACTTTCTAAGAGATTTTATTGAACACCCTTTGAATTTAATAACAAGCATTTAACTGCTGAAAATTTCTTTTTTCATCAGTCAATATTGGTGATTTATTCATTGATTTCCTAATGTTAAACCAATATTGCATCCTGGTATTAACTAGTCACATGCATTTTAACAGTTTAAGTTATTACTTGTAAGTTTAATATTGTTACTAGGGTTCTTACATCTCTACTTACAAGTTGGACCAACCTGCAACTTTCCTCTTTAAAAAAAAAAAGAAAGAAAGAAAAGGGTCCCTGGCATGTTTTCATATCAAAGTTACTTGCTTCCTCATAAAATAGTTATTAATATTCTTTCTTTTGCTTCCTCTGGAAGGGTTTTGTAAGATTACAATTATTTGTTCCTCGAATATTTGAAAGAACTCACCAGACACTGTGTCTGGAACTTTCTTTATAAGAAGTTTTTACCTACTGATAAAATTCCCCTGATGGTTATAGAATTAAGTTACCTTTCTTCTCAATTCAGTTTTGGAAGTTAATGCTTCTCAAAAATTCATACATTTAACTTTTCCAGTGTGTCGGCTTCAAGGTGCTTGTAACCCCCTTCAGTTACTACTTGGATCATCTGCCATTTTGCTCCCTTTTCATTCCTGGGGGGACTTATTTGTGCCTCACTCCCCTTTGTCCTTTGATCAGTCTCTCCAGAGATCTGTCTTTTCCAGCCTTTAACTTTGGTGATTTCCACTTTCTTCCTACTTAAATAATGTCGTTGCTTAGTTTTATTATTTCCTCTCTATAGCTTCGTGGGGGCCTTGTTTAACCTTCATTTTCTAACTTCTTAAGATGATGCTTAGCTCAATTTATCTTTAGTCATTTTTCTTCTCTTACATTAACTTTAAGGAAATCCATTTTGCAGTGATCACTATTCACTCCACCCTTTCCCAAGCACAGAGGTCATTCTCTCTGTCCCATCTCCCTCCCGCTAGAGCAGCAAGGCTTTGGTGAAATGGACAATTGAAAATTCCTTCAGATGCTGTCACAAACTAAAATAGAGACTAACCAAAACTTAAAGGAGACAGAGTTCTTCATAACCGATTAAAACATTGAGTACAAAGTGCTACACACTGTACAAATAGCTGACAGGGACGAATAAACTCAGATGAATCATCGCAGGACACCAGGGGAGCTCTCTGTTTCTGGAACGTGAATGCCCCTGCTGTGCAGGTGGAGGGAAAGGGATGTTAGCGAGGTTCCTTCCTTACATACTGGAACTGGAGGTTGTGTGCTTAGGGCTTACGGTAACACTGAGAGGACATGAGCTCCTGGGTTCTTGTTTCGGTGGCAGACGGTAATGTGTGTGTTTGAACTGAAACCTCTAGGTCCAAGGCTTACAAGGTAGGTTTCCCCGCTTTTGGTCTAGTTTCTGATCTTCATACTCTGCTTTTCTTTCTTTTGTTCATGTCATATTCATCCTTCTTAGGTCTTAGCATACAAGAATCTAATTTTGTCTGTTTGGCTGCCATAGGCAGCAGAATATGAAGGCTGAGGGGCTCAGAGACCACGCCATGTTATCCTGCAGGTAGGAACCCCGTGGCAGGAGAGGTCAGAGAACAAGCTCTACATCACCAAAGCTGTGGGATCCGATGGCAGGGGGGCGGGAAGGCAGGGGGAGGGGCATGGCCCCAGCAAAGAAGAGACACCAAAGCAAAACTAAAGTGGTATTTGAAGGATTTTTCATGTTTATTTTGGTGGGGGGAATTTGAAGTGGTCACCATAGGGGGAATCAGAATTTTGTTTGCTTTCCTTTTATTATACAGTTTGGTTTTTAAGTACATATAGAATATGTGAAGGGGGCACCACATTCAGTCAAACAGGGAAATTGGGTTGAGCTCCAAAACGCAAGCACAGAGCCCTATGTTATCCAAAAATAAACTAGAGTGCAGAAAGGCAGACCTTCTAACCAGTGACTTGCATGTCTTTTGCTGTCAATCACTTAGCAACATGGATATCCAGAAGGTGCAGAAATTTATTGCCAAGGGTTGAGGGCTGCTGATTGGTAGCCAGACCTGATGGTGGGCCTACAAACACCCAATTCTAAGTGTTTGTCTCAGTATCCACTGAACAAACTTCTTGCACACGCTGGCCTTGGGATCTCAGATCAGGAAAGCGATATAGGTTCCCATGCCCAGGGTGATAGACTACGAGCCCCTCAGAGCTCTCTGCCGATTCAAGTGCATGCAGTACGAGGGGAGAAGCTTAGACAAGAGATGGCTGGAGAAGCTAAAGATTGACTGTACGTACAGGTTCCAAATTCCTTATAAGGGACTTCCCATCTATGAGCCTGTGCTCAAAGCTGTTGTGAAAATGATCCATCAAAAGGGTTTAACCACTTGTGAATAATGAAAACCCAATCACTCAGGGCCAGCCCTCAGGCCACCCTGATTTCCTCAGCCAGAGAACTGGCCATGTGAGGATCTGATGCTGTCTGTTGCTCTGTTATCAGACTCCCTCTTTGTACACGCCACAGAATCTCCCATCACCATCTCATTTTAGATCAGCACAGGCATAGAATGAGGTGGGGTTAGGACAGCACAGGCATTAGGGAAATAGAGGACTGGCTAGCCTCAGCAGTGCTCCAGTGACCACCCCCCTTGGGAAGGCCACCACCATTCCCCGTGTTACTTTTGGGTTCTAATGACACCACACGGTCAGTCATTTGCTTAAGCACTTGGCTTTCCTTTTAGGCAGTAGAGGAGAGTCTTCTCCTTTATCATCTCTGTGACCCTCCCATGTAGCACAGTGCCTAATACACAGTACATGTTCAATAAATGCTTGATTACAATTAGCATTAGATATCTCCTAATGGCCCAGGCTGTGACCACAGCTGAGCAATAATAAAAGAATGACACTGGTGTTTGTTGAGACACTCTACTGTGACTTGTCGAGGCTGTGACCCTCCAGGGTCATCAGTTACTCAATGGTGGGACAGGTGTCTGTCCCTTCTAGCTCTAACACTCTACAGTCCAGACAATCCATCTCAGAGTATTCCAGGGCTTGACTCTGAACACCCAGCTCTCCCTGACATTTGAGTCTATCCTAGCTTTACCCTCAAGAAACACATTCTTCTTACACAGCTGCTTGTCTCCATAAGACAATCTGGCAGACTTGTTAAGAGTCAGGTCTTCAACAAAGAATAAAAATTTCATTATGTCTGCGTGGTGGGAGTGTTTTCAAATGGTGGGATTACACTTGTCAGCTACTTCAGATGAGAGGTTATCTGCACCTAAATCAGATTAAAATCTTTATCTACCGCTAAACCTAAGAGTGAGAGAAATAATAATACCAAAACTAAGTGCCATTTATTGAGAACCTATCATGGACCAAGTAATGTGCAAGCACAGTCTCCATCTCTGAGACCAGAGGGAGGCAAAATGAGGTATGATACCAGTTACTGGAGTGAGCACATTAGGGGCTGGAGAAGAGAGCCACTGGTGAGAATGAAATCAATGTTAAAGGGTGGCTTGAAACTAAGCACGCTGCGTGATGTTACGTGTGTGTGCAGGGGAGTGCCTTTTGCTGACTTGATACCTTATTCTGCTCCTTCTCTCTCCCCAGTTTCAGGAGGCCTTTGGGTAGGAGACATTCACCCAGCTGCTGATTGCCAGACCCTCTCTGTCAAGACAATGCTGGCAAGAGGAATCTATGGGTAAAGAAATCCTGTGGAAAGGTGCAGAGAATCTGGTTCCTCTCTTTGAGGCCGGGGCTGGCCTATCCAGAAAGAAGAGGCTGACAGCCTGGCCTGTCTGCCTGCGCAGCAAGAAAATCTCATGAAATTATATGCACCTTACAGGAAGGAGTGAAGAAGTATAGAAATGTTCACTTTGAAACAAACTACTGGTTACAGTAGATCTAATCCTCATTTAATCAACCCAAATTTCAACTTCATTTTTTTCTCACTTATTCAAAATATCCTAATTCTTTTGCAAGGTAGATATTAAGTTAGTGATTTTCCAAATGTATAACTCAACCAGGTTTCCTGTAGTTTTATTTTTTAGACCTAAGGAATTTATTTCTTAATTGTTTAGCATTTTACATTTGCTTTATTGGGTGACTGGACTTACTCGGACCCAGAGACTTAACCCCAGAAATGTCTCCCTTCGGATCTCTATGGAGTACCTTTCTCCTAATCCCAAAGTTATTTCATGTATTACATAAATATCTTCTGTCCAGGTGGTTTGAACACATGAAGTGCTCAACAGACACTTGTTGAAATGAGTAATAACAACTACATGAGAGAACCATCTCCAGTGTGCGCCAGCCAGGGTGGTCAGCACTTACCTGGACTGCCATTATTCCCAAATGCTGCGGTCCTATGAGTTAGGAACCACTATAGGCCTGTTCCAAATGGGGTGATGTGTTCCTGGAAGTTAAAGCTCTAAGGTAGTAATAGGTTAAACTTCATGGAGATATAGTCCATATGCATGGTGGGTGGTGCAAAGGGTAACTGATTCATCTATTTCCTTCACAAGATTCTTTAGAATTACTCCCATAGCATACAGGACCCCATGTATCCATCTCACCTTTACAGATGGGAGCTGCCACACAGCCCACCAAACACCCCATGTTGTTCCTTTAGGAACCAATCAAACAACTTGCTGACAATTGCAAATCTGTTATTCCAGAAAATGGACATTAGTGTCATAAAGATAGAGCAAGGCAAGCAAACAAAAGAAATTTTGGCTTGTTCCATGCAAACCGAGGAAAGCTTTGCGAGGCACATGACTGATTTTTGATCAGCATCACCTGTCCTAGAGGTTCAGTGTCGTTGCAAACCTACACTGAACAGAGAACTAAGCCATGGATGCATATATAATCTCTTCTGGCACACAAGGAAACCTGAATATCAAAGTGACAAACTAAAAGAGCAAGAATTTGAAACAGATCATTAGACTCAAATCCTGTGTCCTTAACTGAAAGAAAATGTATGATCATAGCTATTATTCCTCTAATTACAAGAACTTTATATATGCTCAAAGAATAAAAAAATACATAAATGTGCCTATCTTCAGTGACTTTTTTACTTTTTTTTCTGTTCCATGAACCTTCCTCTTGAGCCTCTGCCTTCTCCCTGAGCAGAACACGGCTGCCCACCGAGAGACGACGGCATTCCCGTCGTGTCACGGGCAGGCACCGACCACAGACAGCCAGATCACTCCATCATCGGGACCTAGGCATTAGACCGGGCATGCTCACCAGATTTAAGCAGAACCAAGCAGTGTCTTTTTCTGATGAATGATAAAGTCGTTGATGGAAGAAAACAGATTTTTCCTGATATCATGGTTTCGATGAAACATTTATGCCAGGAGCTGCCTTGCAATACGGCCATCTTCACACACAGAGAGCCTGATGGACAATGAAACCCACACAAAGGAAACGATGACAAGTCAAAGACAAAAACCTACATCCCTCAGTTTTCTGCTCAAGAATCTAGGCCCAGTAGTGCTTCAAGCTCCATGTCAACCACTGGACTTTCTTGTTTCTGAATGAATAAATTGCTCCCTTTTGCTTCACCAGTTTGAGCTGAGTCTCTATCACCTGTTACCAGAAAAGTCCCACTAACATAGCTTCCCCTTCCTCAAGTCCTCTCCAGCTGCCCGTCACAGCAGGGCGCCTCCTGTCCTTTCTCGCAGAGGATTCGCCTTGGTTCAGCACTTCCTTGCTCCACACCTTTCCTCTGCTCACAGTGATGAGCTCCCGCACAAGGTGAATCCGGACAGTGATAACATGAGCCAATTTTTCCCCAGATGGTGAAGATGAGCAGTGGTCACAAAGGCCTCCACCTCCACAACCCCATGATTCTGAAACCACACACTTCTGTTTTTAAAGGTACTTTTGGATAGAGGGGATAGAGAAAAAATTTGGGGCTTTTTTTTCCAGCTTTGGAAAGACAGGAGTCTGATTGGAAGAGCTGACCAATGGTTGTCTCCTCTTTTAGGTCTCAATCTAAAGATCATTTCTTAGTTTAACTGCAGTCACACAACCCGTACTGCATTGAATATTTCTCAGCAATTTGCAGTTAATGTTCTCTTCTCTCTCTAAACTGCACATTTCATGAAGGCAGAGCTGATATCTGTGATATGCCCAATATACAGCTCAGTGCCTGGCACATTCAAAGTCATCGATGGATAGGTATTTGTGGACTGAATAAAGGCACACAAGACTGATGAAGGGTTCCCACCTCCTGTCCCCACTGAGTATGCTATAGAGGCCTATGATATTTACTGAAACTGAAATACATTCTCCCAAGACTTAAAACAGGATCAAGGGAAGTGAGAATTCAGAGGGAAAAAGGAAGAGTCCCTCTAAAATCAATGTTGGCTGAAGTTCAAGTGAGGACAGAAAGGAAGAGGGTGAGAGGCGAGCTGCAACGTGACATCAGTCCTCCCTCCATTTTTTCTACCGCATATGTAGCTACATAAATTCTGGTCATGCTGATGGTCAGAGTGGATGAGATGGAACCTCCCACCGGTCTCCTCCCCACCTCTTTTATATATTTAAGATTCAACTCTTATGAGACTGTTTGCAGCAAAGTTTTTGTGGGAGATGATGATGAAAACTTGCAAGGAAAATAATCAACTGAATTAAATTCCTTTGGCCTTGACATTTTATGGTCTCTGTCTTCATGTCTCCCCACACCTGTTCCTTTTCTGTCCTCGAATTTCAGCCAACATTAATTTGGGAGAGGCTCTTCTTTTCCCTGAATTAACACTTCCCGCAGTCCTGCTGGATGTCATGAGATCCAGGATCAAGGGCCTGTTCAAAACGAGGATGATCTCCAGATCTCTTCACATCACCCACCAAATAACTCTGCCCCTTTCCCGTGTGTCCTCAAGATGGCACACTAAGCACAGAACCCAGCCTCTTCAACCACTGGCACTAAATTACTAGAAAGACAATGTCTTTTCTTTCCCAGCTTTGGAAAACCAGGAGGCAGGCTCCCCCTTCAAGATCCAGGGGATGGTATCACAGGAGAGAAAAAACAAGAAAGCAAGAGAACCAAGAACCTGCCAGTGCAAAATGCTTCACAGAGCAGGAGTGGCCACGGGAGTTCCCCAAGCCTGGAGGAAGCAGACGGGGGAAACAGACAAATCTCAAGAATGCAAGGATCATGAAATCCAAGTGTGCTTAATACATTCACTGAATTCACAGATTATAAGAGAAAACCTTTATGACCATGCCAAAAAGTAATTTGAAAAATCCAAGACCCAGTCGTGATTCAATATTTGCAGCACGATAGACACTTCCTAAAACAAACAGGACATCTACCAGAAACCTTCAACAAGTACTATACTCAGTAGTAGTAAAAAGTAGAAGCATTCACATTAAACTCATTGTGGGTAAAATTGTAATATTTCCAGAATATCTCACCTGACTTAGTGCATCTGCATATCAACAGGTATTCCTCAGGGGTGGAGAGAGTAGTTCGTCTCCATATCAGTGGGTAGTTACCTGGGCCACCGAGGGCTTATCTGAACCTAAGAGGTGAGGGTGAGGGCTGGTTTTGCTTCTGCTGGAGCAGGAAAGAGAAACAGCCCTGGACTGCATGTTGTAAGCAATAAACAGGTTTTAAACTTTATTTCTCCCTTGACTGATTTTGGTTTTAGAGGTATTTTGCCCTGGGATTTCCTTTCCGCAGAGTTACACTCATTAACAAGAGAAGAATATTCACTCCTAATGCTACCTTCAGCATGTCCTTGGAGGTCCTTATTAATGCATTAAGACAAGAAAAATAGACGAACTGGAAAGGAAGAAACAAAATAGTCATTATATTCATAGAATATGACCGTCTATATTTGGGGGGCAGAACTAATAGACATAGCTGATGAACTTGGATGTGATAGGGACAGGTAAAGGGTTCAAGGATGACACCAGGACTCATAGCTTAAGCCCTCAGTGTGCTTCAAACCTTTAACTGAGATAATGGGACGTGGAACTATGGGATTAGAGAAAATTTCAAGCCATTTGATATATGAGTCTAGGTTTTAGAGATTTGGCATACAGAATTAAGAGGAGATATTAGATAAAGAGTTTGATAGATGAGTCTAGACTTCAGAGCGGAGGTCATGTCTGAAAATATAAATTTAGAACTCATCAGAATATAGATGATATTCAAAGCTTTAGCCCACATTGAATTCCTTAAGAAGAGCCAACGTTTTGAGATAAGCAAATGAGATTGGGAATGACTCGCCTGGTGAGATAAGAAAGCCCAAAGTTGTCACAGTATCACAGAACTGTGGGAAAGAAAATATTCTGGTTTAAGCAGAGGAGCAGGGAGATGCCCACAGTCATATGTTCTTGAATGCTCATAAAAAGTCATGTAAAATGAGAGTAGACATATAACTCTGGGATCAGTCCTTGTGAAGTGGTCTTGTCAATGAAGGTGGTGGCTGAGTCAGAAACCCAAGTGGTGTAGGATGGGGAGAAGAGGAGGTGAGGAATTCAAGACAGACCAACATTCACAATGTTTCTAATACATTTTTCTTCATAAGGAAGCAAAGAAGGAGGGTGATAATGGGGGGGAGAAAGAGACTAAAGGGAATGTACATGTGAATAATCCAGTATGGAGGGAGAAATTTGGATTTGTATGTTTGAGAGAAGTAAATTAGATTTAGTTTTATATGAAATTATAAAGTAATTTTCAAGTAGAAGGAAGGAGATTAGATAGAACATGATTGATAGGAAATCAGTTGGTCTGGCTGACCTATCAACTTGACTGGATTTAAAAATTTTTATATGTTTGGCATTTAAGAGACTTATGCATAAAAGATATTTGTTCTCTTAAAGATACATAATTAGTTCACAGATTATTTTCATAATAGTAAAATATCTGTGGGTGTTTCCCCTAAAAAATGGCTGTGTAGGATGAACCCATATTGACAAACGGCTTATTAATTCATATATGAAAACCTTCTACAGATTAAAGAGTGGAAATATGACTGGATTCAGATAGACTGCCTATCTTCCCTCAACTCAATTCTATTTAATTGTAAACAGACAACAGGGACTTTTGTGGGCTTTTTTTCCTCTTTTTCGACTGTTCAGCATTTAGATTCTGATTCTGCTGGGGTCCTCCTCAAACAGTGTGAGTCTGCCTGGAAGAGAAGGTCCTTCTTCACTGCACACTAGCTGCTGGTGCCAAATATGTACATTTCTTCCGCTCAACCCTGTAGCTAGAGAGTAGTCAGTCACATCCACTGGCAAGTGATCAGCTCTCTTGGTGGCATCCGGTGGCCAGTGCCACCGCAGCGGCATCCTAACCAAACTCTCCTTGTGGCCTAACTTTTGCTGCACTTCTGAGCATCTAGGTCCTGGTTCTCAGTGTATTCAGACCCATGCTCCAGACACACCATCAGTTATAAGGACTAGTCAAGTCACTTCCAACGAATTCCTTTCCTGCAGAAGTTAGCCAAGGCTCTCTTTTCTGTTGCTTCACAACTGTTAACACCCGCAGACCAACCCAACAGCCTCTTCCTCCAAGAATCCCACACAGTTCTTGGAATCTCTGGAAACCCAAATAGTACCTAGATTTTTTTCTTTGCCTGAGGTCTGATTTTGCTCATGATGGTCTAAATCTTGGCTACCTAAAGTTGGTTTTCAACTCAGGCAGAGGTGAGAGAGAGGAAGAGTATGAGAATACTTCCATCCAGAGTATGCCTCACTAGAAAATAGAGCTCATTCCCATTTCACCTCTGTATGCCACTTTCCCCAGTGGCTAACCAGCACATTACATAAAGATTATCAGTATTTGTCAAATCAATAAATCCAGAAAAAAATTAGAAAATAGTACAGAATGTGGAGACAGAGAGACAAAATAATGGGCAAGAAATATAGCATTCTCTTCCTTTCTCTGCTGTCTTGGGGAACTCTCTGGGCATCATTTTCTTTATTTGTAACATGAAAGGGCAAAATAGTCTGAATACCTTTCAGCTGAGAAATTATTTGATTTGGGAATAAATATAGTATTGGGTACTAGGATTCAGAACTCCATTGTGCAAATTTTTTTTTAATGAAATTAATATCACTTATTTTCTCCAAGACTCAGCAGAATAAAGGTAGGTTCCTTTAATCGGTAAAACAGTAAATGCCAGTGTGTTCACATTTGTGCGCACAGGCGTGAGTTCCCACAGGAAGGCAGCGAGTACCTGCCAGGAGCTGTTCAGCAGCGTCTACTGAAATGTCACCTCTGAGGGGCCAAGCAAGCCCATATTCCCACAGCAATTTCTAAGGCTACCCTCTTCTTCTCTAAACTCACGGATGCAAATTGTCCAGCCGGGTTTTAATGAAAGCCCCGTTTCCACTTTCCCTTGGGTGTTTCTACCATATACACTTCTCCTTTTTTGTCCCTTAGTCACCTTCCTTCCTTAACACCTTCTATCCACGGGCCATGGTGAAGAGAGCCGACATAATGAGGCCCCAGAAACTGGTTCAAAGCCTGCTGTAAAACTTTTTAAATTAAGCCCATGAGATTTTAAGAGCTGTAATTAGAATGCTCGATTTGAAATGAACTAAC